TTGGAAAGAGATGGAGAGAAAAAAAAGACCAGGAACGGCATTTCTCCAAAGATGATTTCCAGATGGTCCAGGAGTTGCCTAAAGGACGCTTCAGGGAAATGCAAATCAAACCATGGAGAGCTATCACTCAGCATTGGATCACAGGGCTAGATTAGCAAGACAGATAAGCTCAAGTGTTGGCAAGGCTGTGGAGATGCTGGTGCCCTTCTCTGCTGCTGGTGGGGGATGTAAAAATGCTGGCAGCTGGGGTGAAGAACTGTCTGGCAGCTCCTCAAGAGGTTAAACATGTGGTCCCCCTTTGAACCAGGGGGTGCACACTGAGGCACGAAGCCAGGAGAGCTGAAACTACCTGCTCACACAAATACTTGTATGTGAAAGTTTATTCATGACAGTCAAAAAGCAAGCCCCCCCACACCCTTCCATTGACAGAAGATAAACAAGTGTGGCAATTCTACTCGCTGAAATATTATTCAGTGTTAAAAAGGAAAGGTGTATGGACATGCTTCATATTGACATGCTACAACAAACCTTAATCGAGGTGAAAGACAAAAAAAGAAAAGAAAAGAGAAGAAGATTTTCCACAGAATGTCCAGACAAGGTAAATCTGCAGGAGCAGGCTGGCCTAAATCGGAGGTAGTGGGAAGAGGGACAAGCGGCCTGGGGAGGGATGCTTGAATTCTATCTCAGTCTCAATAAGAGCATTTTTAAAAGAAAAGGAGAGGAAAGGAAAGGCGTGCCCAGTGCCATAAATGGCAAGCAGCCGAAGTTTCTGAAACCAAAAGCCAGCACTACGACATGAACTGTACTTTAGGAGCTGTTCTTTGGTGTAGAGAGGTGACAGCTGGATGCAGGTGTGTGTGATGTTGGTGGGGTCTAGCTTCCAGAAGTCTCCTCCACCTGCTGGCCTCATTTGGAAGCCCTGGGAAGAGGGGGTGAGGGGAAATAGAGCCATTTATTAACACTGGCTGGCACCCATGAGTCTGGGCCCCCTCTGTAAGTCTAGGTCCCCCCTTTTGTGAGTCTGGGTCTCCTTTTTGCACAGCAGCTAGGGTGGGTGTCTGTCCCTGCTGCTAAAATGAATCAGGTATCGGGATACGGGACTTACAATTAGATTAGATAAACTTGCTGGCGGGGTGGGCTCTGGGTGTGTCTGCCCAGCAGGGTGAAGTACACTCCCACCTTTCAGAGCTGAAATATGCTGCTGTCTCAGTTAACTATTTGATCATTTCTGGACTGTAACAGTTAACCCCTGCTCCCTCCCCTCCCCCCTGACCGAGTCTCTGTTCTTCTCTCAGCCAGGTCTGCACACGTGGTGGGCTCCAGGGAGATCCCGCCTGGCAGGGCCTGTAGCCACTGAGTTCTGTGCAAGCTATGGTGCTGTAGTCGGGCCTTCAATCTCCTGCCATTCTTGCCCTTGGTGAATGAGGGGAGCCATATTGCTCTGGGACAAAGACACCCTGCTCCAAGCCCTGAGCAAACCCTCCCTCTGGCCATGGTCTCCCCATCAGTGAGATGGAGGACAGTTTGGTCATCACTCCGGATCCTCAGGGGTTGGTTTCAGGGCCACTCTCGATACTGAAATTCCCGGATGCTCAAGTCTTCCCGGGTACATGATATGGCATTTGCAATTAGCCGACATGCATATGCTCATAAGGCTTTAAACCATCTCTGGATGACTTGTCATAGCACATATAACATAAATGCCATGTTCATAAATACTTGTCGTTCAGGGAAGAAGGTCAGGGAACATCCTTCTGTGCGGGGCAGAAGGAATTTTTAAAAAGTATTCTCACTTCAGAGGTTCAGAATCTGCAGGAACCCGTGAGACCTGTGGGAAGGGTCAGGGGACAGCTTGCTGAGAAAGGGCCCTGGGCTTGGCAGTATGGGCCAAGAGAGCTCACTGCCTGCCCTTCTCGCACCTGCTTCTTCTCCAGACTCATAGCCCCAGGCACACAGGCGTAGGGGAGGAGGCAGAGCAGGTAGAGTCAGGCTGTGTCTGCTACCCCAAAAGGCCCTTAGGATTCCAGGGAGCCAGGGCACAGGTTGTGGGTCTACAATGTTCCCTCCTCAGGGTGGCTCAGGCTCCTTGGATTCTGAATAGTAAGGTCAAAACCAGAGCAAGCTGGGCACCAGTCCAATGGCCTGTAGCCATTCAGGAGACTGAGATCTGAGGACCGCAGTTCAAAGCCAGTCTCAGCAGGGAAGCCTGTGAGATGCTCATCCCCAATTAACCACCCAAAAGCAGCCAAGTGGTAGAGCACCAGCCTTGAGTAAAAAAGCTCAGGGACAGTGCCCAAGCCCCAGCGCGCGCACGCGCACACACACACACACACACACACACACACACACAACTGTGCCAAAAGTAGCTGGTAGAGGTGGTGGAAACAAAAGCAACATAGCCCCATCCAGTATGATGGTGCATACCTGTAATCCAGCTATGCAGAAGGTAGAGTAGAGATGGGATGAAAGACGTTTGAGGCCAGTCTGGGCAAACCTGTCTTAAACTTATGACCACCCTAGGAGGCATCTCAGGCCCGGAGAGGATGATGAACTTGAGGTCAGGTGATGAATCTGAGATGTGGATCCCAAGCAGTAAGTCCTTAATTTATATGCTAAAGGGACAGGACATCAGCAGATGTTGGGGTGAGTGAGGCAGGCCTGGGGGAGGAGGGAGCGACCCACTTGTGTGCGGTAGGGTGGGGCGTACTGGCACACGTGCTGACACAGATAGACATTGCTGTCAAGATACAGGTAGGTAGACCCCAGGACTTTTAGAATTGCATTACAGTTTGCACCTGGGATTCTCAGAGCAAGCATGGTCCCTGGACCAGCCATATCAGCCTCCCTGAGAACTGGAAAGAAGTCAGGTGCTCTGGCCCCGCCCATATGATCTGGCTCCACCCAGGTACCATGGCCCCGCCCATATGATCTGGCTCCACCCAGGTACCCTGGCCCCACTCACATGATTGGCTCCACCCAGGTACCCTGGCCCCACCCACATGATTGGCTCCACCCAGGGAGCCCTTACCTGCCCACTCAGGACACCAGGCCATCTATGCTACTGTGTGGCAGGCTCAGCATCCTGCAAAGCTCACCACACCCCCGAGGCTGCTTTTTAAGTCCCTGCAGCTGTGTGCTCCCTCCCTGTGGCTCTGATGGCTGTCACCTCCCGCTGTCTCCTGACACTGACATAGAAATACAAGCCTCAGAACCACAGCAGCTGGGCCCACTGTGCAACCAGCTTGGCCCCATGAGACCTCTTCAGGACTCAGTTTCCCCAGCAAGCAGCGGAGGCCGGGACTCACAAGTGTCGGAGCTGGGAGGGACACAAATCCTACATTCTATGGAGCCCACACACAGAGAGTAAGCTGCCCAGTGAGCCAGGTGGGTCAGATGAAGATTTCTGGAGACTGGCCTTGCCTGTGGGCACCACAGAGCAAAGGTTCTCATTACAGGATTTTCTCCCCCAGGGCTGACGATTGCACCCAGGGCCTGGCCTGAGCCAGGCAAGTGCTGCACCACTGAGCTACGTCCTTACCCTTGAGGACAGGAATCTTAGTATATTAAAAGTCCATGCCTGCTGGGTGCCAGTAGCTCACAGCTGTAATCCTACTTACTCAGGAGGTAAGTCGAGGATCAGGGTTGAGGCCTGCCCAGGTGGGCAGTTCTTGTGAGGCTTTTATCTCCAATTTAACCACCAAAAGCCTGGGAGTGGAGCTGTGTGTGGCTCAAGTGGTAGAGCAACAGTCTTGAGCAAAAAAGTTAAGGAAGAATGCAAGTCTCTGAGTTCAAGGCCCAGAACTGGCGCGCGCACAGGTAGCTGATGAGCTAATGATGGTGCCCAAGCCTCTGGGCAGTCTATGCAGACTGACTAGAAGCAGGGAAGGGCCCACCTGGCCACGCCCCCAATGACATCACCCCTGCTTGATGATGCAGATTGAAGGGGAGGGAGCTGCCCATGGCCACCCCCATGCTGATGTCACCGTTCCACTGGGAAGCTGGATTCACACCCCACAACCCCTCACCAGTGCCACCACTGCAGCAGGATCAATGTCCCCTGGGGGTCTGGCCTTGGCAAGCAAGGCCGTTTCCCTCAGGTCAGGGCTTGTTCACATAGATTGCCAGGGTCGCCAGGGTCTAGCATGCTTTGTTGCTTTGGTAAATATTATTTGATAAGGAAATCAGAAAACGCGGAGAGAGGGTAGAGACATTCAGCAAGAACATGACAGCTGGGGGTGGGGGTAGGGGTGGGGGGTCTTTCTGAGGCCACAGAGGAATGCCCTAGACAGAGTATTGTTACCCCATATTACAGGGGCATAAGCAGAGACACTCAGGAGCCAAACACCCAGTCCAGCTCACTTCCAATCATCACCTGGAACCTCCAACACCCCTGAAGGGGGGGGAGGAGGAGCTTGGGAGGTGACAGCTCTTCTCCCCGATCAGGAACACATCGCAGCTGCAATGCTGCCTCACCCTTCTGGGTAGGGGTAGGGGGTGCCCTGGGCTGTCCTTGCTCCATGGGAGCACTGAGCCACCACCCTGGGCCCGGGGCCCCGCTGACACCCCCACGGAATCTGTCACACAGCTGCTGGCATGGGGCTGTGCCTCCCTGAGCCTGGGTGGGGTCTCGGGGCCTCGAGGTGGGTGGTCTATGAATGGTCCAGTAGACCAGTGTCCCCAGTCCAAGGTCTGCTGCTTGAGGGGCACCTCTCACTCCTGATAATCCATGCACCAGGCCCGTGGGCATCACTAAGCCAAGCCTGTGGTACCCTCACAACTCAGGGCTCCAGGGCTGGAGGAGAAGAGGCCATAAGAGGAGACCCTTGGGGCCAGGCCTGACAGCTACAGCCACCTCACCCTGCCACTTGGCAGGAGCAGGCATCTGGCTGGCAGTCTGAGGACACACAGACACACACACACACACACACACACACACACACACACACACACACACACACACGCCCCACCGTCCTGGGACACGGAGCCAGGCCTGCACTCACCCATGACGTTGAGGAAGATGTTTCCTGAGGCCAGGACCACCTTCTCCCTGGTGGCACGGTCGTAGATGCCCACGTGACACTCATAGGGGCCGTTGTCTGAGATCCGGACCTCGGGCAGCCTGTGAGGAGGCAGAGGACGGGATGAGGTGGGCATGGGGGTGGTACCGAGGAGGCAGGCTCCCAGACAACCGATCCAGTACCTGCTGGACAGGGTCCCGTGAGCCTAACACTGTGGCCCGCACACACTGTGTACTGGGCCGGGAAGCGGGGGAGCATGCACGGTGCTTCAACCGCACCCAGGCTCTGCGTAGGACACCACATACAGGGGGGTTGTGGCCCCAGCGGCTCCTGGAGCAGTAGCTGCTGCCAGGCTGGTGGCCAGGCCTACTCACTGAGTGGAGAGATGTCAGGAGCAGCTGCCCTGAGCATGGGGGGAGAGGGCAGCCTCGCCCCACCCGTTCCTCATGGCCACCATCCATGAAGGGATGGATGGTTCCCATTTCATAAGCAGGGAAACGGAGGCACAACCCTCCCTCCCCCCACTCTTACATAGGGAATCTGAGTTCCTGCCTTCACAATGCTAAGCTGTCACTCTATACCCAGCCCTGGGGACACTGAAAAGAAACACGGTCAAATTCCTGCACACAAGGAGCTTCCTGTCTAATGAACAAGGAGGAGGAAGGCCAATCAGCTCCCCCCAAGTTGCATGCGAAGAGTAAGCTTGTGGGAGCCTGGACTGAGGGCCAGTAGTAGTTCTACCTCTGAGGTCCTCAGACCCATACATTTCCCTGTAACATTCCCTCTAGAAAGCCAGGAAGTGAGGATGCTTGTGGTCTCCATAGCAACTTCTCACCTCTGTCTTTATTACATAGCCCAGAGCCAGCCATGGGGTACAAACCCATCGGCACGGTGGTGCTCAAATAAAAGGCCACCAGATTTAAATTTCTGATGATGGTCAGTGTGCCACAAAATATGTCTTGGCTTTCCCCTCTGTCCTCCACACGTTTACAAATGTTGAAAGCATTCTCATTTCACACCCTGTAGGAAAGACAGGCAAGGGTCTGGATGTGGCCCATCGGCTTCAGTTTGTGGATTCCTGGTTCTAGATCTTTCTACAGGGTGTAGGGTCAGACAGGGCTGAGTCAGTATGATCTGCCTCCCTGTGGGGACATGGATGCAGGACTGTTTCCTCCTGCCTTCTATGTGGAAGAGATCAGAGTTAAAATTCTGCTCCTATCATTTGTAGCCCCTGGGACTTTAGGGAAGTGGCTCTCTCTCTTGTCATAAACAAACAAACAAATAAATAAAATAGAAGTGCAGCCAAGGCTGAATGCAGGGGCCATGCACAGGACTGGGGGGGTCACCATGGGCCAGCCATGCACCTTAAGGTCAGAATTCCTGCTAGGCAAGATCTGAGCATGTCTGTGGGCGGTGGGGGCCTCGGCCTGCGGGTGCTGGGGAAACCTGGGTGGCCCCACAGGTTCCAGCCCACGCCGGTGCCATCTTCGAGGGCTGTGTCCCTCCCAGTTTTCCCTGCTTCCATCTATTTCTGCTGAGCAGTTTCACTCAAGACTCTGTGCTGGGTCCCAGCTCCTTTTTTTCTTGTGACTCACTGTCCCCCAAGCCTCCCCCCCCCCAAACTTGCCACCCACCTCCACCCCAGGCTCCCAGCCTCCTTTCATCCATGCGGTCTCACTGAGCCAGCCCTCCCCTGCCTCCCTCCCCTTGACCCCACCTGGTGCCCATTAACATAAGCAACATCTTCATTTACATAGACTACACAGAGGTTGACATCTGGTCTACCTACTGTCACCCAGGGCTGAAGAACAGACTGTCTTCCAAGGCCTGGTGGAGAAGATGTCATCCGCCTCCACTCAGCTCAGAAGAAGGCTGGTGACAGCCAAGAACTGAGTCTCTACCCTCCTCCCACCCCCCCCCATACACACCCGCCCTGGGGAGCCATTTTCTTTGTTTAGAACCCAGCTAGATTGGAAAAGTGGTCTCCTCGGTGGACACCACTGCTGAGTGATTGTCACCCGGAGTGACACGTTCAGGAGACAAGGGTGTCTGACACAGAGGTGACATGTGTGCGTGAGTGTCTTTCCCTGGGGTACGGAGAGCAGGCATGAAAAAGGCTCAGGGGACACGTGTGGCTGGCAGGCTTCTAGGTGATGTCACTGGAGAATAGTGAACGCTGCCACATAGGGGTGTGTGTGTGTGTGTGTGTGTGTGTGTGTGTGTGCATACACAGCTGGCAGGCGCAGGTGTGCGGCTGTGACATCAACACGGTGACAGTTGAGGAATCACTGCTCCAATGACACGCTCAGCTGACAGAAACACAAGCAATGTGCTCGGGTGATGTGTGGGCGAGACGGCACAGGTGGCATCGGAGGCGGCTCAGGGGACACCTGGATTGGCACAGCCTCCCCACGGGGGGAGGGGGCTCCCCACAATCAGATCAGACTACCGCTCCTCCTACTTGACTTCCTCCAAACAGCCATGTGCACCTTGGCCAAGTCACTACCTCCTTGACAGTCTCCCCCACTCAATGCGAGCCCCCGGGGGTTCCCATCCTGCCCCCCAGATCCTGAGCCTCCCTCAGATCCCCCCACCATCACTGCCACCCTCCCCCCACCTGGTTCGCAGCTGGTGCTTCCCACTCCGGGAGTCTCAGAGCCTGCCAGCCTCCTCCCAGCCTGCCAGTCCCCTCCCGAGCTATTCGACAAGAACAATCCAGATCTTTTCAAATGTAAATGAACGAATCCCGCCCCCCTACACCCCTTCAAAGGCTTCTGTCTGCTCTTCACAGGAACACCAGGATCCCTATCCCAACCTCCCGAGCCCAGACCTGCCCTTCCTCCTCTGCAGCCACACCTCCTGTCCCAAGAAATGCTTTCGTAAGACACCATCTTTAAAAATGGTCGTTTCAGATCATTTTAGAATTAGGGGAAAGTAGCCAGGGCAACAGAGACCCTGTGTGCCTCCTTTCTCCTCTCAGGACCACCTTGCAGTCCAGGCTAGCCCAGCAGATTCCAGCCTCACCTCCATCCTGCTCCACCAGGGAACAGCTTTTGGCCTGGACTGCCCACCTCTTCTCAGTGCCTTCTCGGACCCCAGGACCCCGTCTCCACTGTGGGCTCCTGAAATGGACAAAGCAGCCTGACCCCCTCCCCAGGAGAAGACATCGATCCACGCGTATGCACACGGGCAGCAGGGACCAGCGGGGACCTGGGAGGCTGGGGGAGGAGGCCACCTCCCATCGGCGATGGACGGCAATCAATAAACTATTAATAACTGTAAAGGTTTCTGCAGAGATCGCTGTAATACAGTTTAGCGGCTGGAGTTTGCCAACAGCAGCAGCAGCCCTGGAGGGCGAGTAATTGTGTTTTTGAAAGCAGAAGAGCTGGGCAGGTTGGCCCTGCTCCCCCTGCTGCCGTGCAGCCCTCTGTGCAGGTGAGGCCAGGCAAAGGCTGGGCCATCAGGACGCAGCAGTGTTTACACCTACTGTGTGCCTCGCCCCACAGCTGAGTCTGGGTGGTGGGCTTGGGCTGGAGTTGATACAGTGATAGTTAGGATTGGTCCCGCCCCTAGCCATGCCTGTGCCCAGGCTGTTGGTTCTGCTTGACGTGTCCTTTGCTCCATCCACTGGGCAAACCTCATGGTTTAGTGTAATCACTAAAAGCACAGATTTGAAGGATGTCTGATTTGTAAGAGCTCAGTCCCAGTCTTGCTTTGTGCACTTAAGAAAACCATGTCATCATCCGGGTAGCTGGAGGCTCACACCTGTAATCCCAGCTACTCAGGAGGCTGAGGTTTGAGGACTGAGAGGTTCAGAGCCAGCCAGGGCAGAAAGCTCTGTGAGACTCTTACCTCCAGTGAACCACCCGAAAACCAGAAGTGGCGCTGTGGCTCAAAGTGGTAGAGTGCTAGCCTTGAGCTGAGGACCTCAGGGACAGCGCCCAGGCCCTGAGTTCAAACCCCATGAACGACCAAAACAAACAAACAACAACCCCCCCCCCCAAAAAAAAACAAACCCAACGTGATATTCTCTATAAGCTTTGAATTTTGTTACCTGTCACAATCACCTCAGGGGACGAATAGGAAAATTAAAAGTAATAATCCAAGCTCCGAGCTGGTGGGTGCAGGGTGGACAGGATAGGTACTCCACTAGAAAGCGGTGGACAGGATAGGTACTCCACTAGAAAGTGGTAGACTGGATAGGTACTCCACTAGAAAGCGGTGGACAGGATAGGTACTCCACTAGAAAGCAGTGGACTGGATAGGGACTCCACTAGAAAGCGGTGGGCGGTGCCCTTAGGGGACCACCTCCTCCAGGCAGGCTTTCTTGATTGCCCAGCTACACCTGTCTGGGAGCATCTGGGAGCACATCATTCACCTGCTGGGAATATCAGGACACACCAGGACGGATGCCTCGGCCCTGGGAGCCCAAGGGAGCAGCCGGGCCATGTGGCAGGCACCTCCATGGGCATCTGTGGTAAAAATGAGACCCAAGAACACAGCCCAGATTGGCATCTAGGAGCTGTTCTTAGCTCTACAGACAGCTGGCTGTGATGTTGGACAAGCATCCTCTGGCTTCTCAGAGCCTCAGTTTCTCTATCCGGTACATGAGTGTGACAATGCCTGTCTCCTGGCACTATTATGTATAGAGATGAATAGAAGGGGGTATTATATATACTGAATTCCCTCCCCCACCCCTTGTCACACTCAATCCTGTTACCGCCCAGAGGAACATGGTCCCACGCACAGCATTATGTAAAGCACATCCTAGAAAAGTACAACTGAGGAAACGGAGGCCCGGGAGAAGAGGTAACATGACTGAGGTTGCACAGGCGGGTACCCTGGTGCGAGCCCCAGCTCAATGGGGGTCACAGCCCGGGAAGCTCCCCGCCCCTCCCTGGTCCTGCCCCATCCACGTGTACTCTCTGGCACCTGCTTCCTGGCCATGTTTGTCTTCTGAGCCGTGCTGCCTGCCTCCTTTCCGGGTACCGAGGCCACACGCTTCCTCCCGAAGGGCGAGCCTGGATGGCCTCTGTGTCCTCTCCAGCCCCTTCCCCGCCCTTTCCTCCCTTCCCGTCTTTGTCTTTCTCCTGAGATTCCT